AACTGGTTTGTGAAAGTAGGACTCTTTGACTGGGCGCAGTGGCTCACGCCTGTAATCCCAGCACTTTGGGAAGCCGAGTTGGGTGGATCACGAGGTAAGGAGCTCAAGACCAGCCTGGCCAATATGGTGAAACCCCGTCTCTACTATAAATACAAAAAATTAGCCAGGTGCGATGGCAGGTACCTATAATCCCAGCTACTCAGGAGGGTGAGGCAGGGGAATCACTTGAACCCGGGTGGCAGAGGTTGCAGTGAGCCAAGATCGTGCTATTGCACTCCAGCCTGGGCAACATAGTGAGACTCAGTCTCAAAAAAAAAGGAAGTAGGACTCGTCAGCATTGATTTCCATGTTGATATGCTATGTATTAGCTGGGAAGATCTGAAAGCATATAAAAATATAATAAAAACTAAAGCTGATGCTAACTAAGGAATTAGGGATATGGGCATATGATGACGTAAGTATAGGTAATGTCATGGCCCTGGGCACAACTGAGGAGAAGAATGTGTCCTTGACTCATTCCTCCTGACTTCCTGTAGGGTTTTTACCCTTTTTCTCCTAATGTTTCTTAGAACAAAATGTTTGTTCTATGTTCTGCATAGTATATTGCATGACTGAAAGGTAGAGATATGTGTGCTGGTAGCCTGAAAATATGGCTATTTTATTTAATGAGATTTGTAGGAAGGGAGAGAGAAGAATTTTCTGAAGATTTGGAACATTTTAAGGAGGGCCAGTTCTCTGTAACTGTATAGGGCATAGACATCGAGTAAGTCACTGATGTGAAAATATTTCACCATCAAATGAGATTGTGAATGAGTTGATATTGCTTTGAGGTGATAGAAGAATATATGGAGTTTTTCACCTTGTGAATTATGTATGATTTAGTCTGTAAACTTTACTTCTGGTTTGAATAGGATCTTCCTCAGGAAATGGAAAAGTTGCCACAGCTCCGACAAGGTACTACGATGATATATATTTTGATTCTGATTCTGAGGATGAAGACAAAGCAGGTAAGTAGCCTATTTACCAGGTTAAGCAGTTATATTTTATAAAAAAGGGTTTACCTAACAATTATTGGATGTAAGGATTTCCCTCTGAGTTTGGTCTTTTAAGAAATTACGGCTGGGCATGGTGGTTCACGCCTGTAATTGCAGCACTTTGGGAGGCTGATGCAGGCAGATCACCTGAGGTTGGGAGTTTAAGACCAGCCTGGCCAACTTGGCAAAACCCTGTCTGTACTAAAAATACAAAAATAAGCCGGGCATGGTGGTGCA